ATTTTGTTCGATATACCTATTTGGTGATTTGGAAACAGCGCTCGAATGAATTCTTAGCTATTGCCTGAGAAATGCACCGTGGTTTCTTGCAAGGAAGATTTGCCGGTGAAGGCATACCTTACGATTCAGCCGAGATAAGAGAATGAGCTTCGATCTGACGATCAAACAGCTCTGCTTCGCTGAAAGAGACTTTTCTCACATATTCTCTTCCCTTTCTTTTACTCACGTGCTTTGTACGTTGCCTTCTACTATCGACCGACACATGATCGCAATTTCGGCAACCTTTTTGTACAGAAAACGGTACCCAACGTTGAACCAGCTACTCTTACGTTCAAATTTATGACGCATTTATATAGATAGTTTATCGTAGAACACATGCTTCAAGTTACATTCTCCTTAACGAATAACAATTTTATTATAATTTCTTCGTACTCCGTCTTGTACATATCGTGTAAGATCGCTTGGGCATTGCAAGTTGTGCTTCTACATATTAGAACTGGATTAAATAGAATCACTCTCTTATATATAATAATTTTTCAAAAAGATAAAAGTGACTTCAAATTTTTCATTCAAATTTTGATTTCTAAAATATTTTTAAAATACCTGCATTGTCAATGGATAATGATTTTAGACGAAACCGTAATGAACAACTGTGCATGTTTTAGAGATTCATAAATTAAATCGAGAAAACGAGAAGTATGACTTGCAAGAGCTAACATAAGGCTGATTTTACACTCACGAAGCCAAAATCCCTAGAATCTTTGACTAATGAACAATCCACACAACACCCACGTGTCTCCAGATGTTTGACCTGTTGCTGCTTCAAAACCATACGCGACAGAAGGACAGGATGAAAGTCGAATACAGACTCGAGGAGTAAGACGAGTATCGTGTTGTCGAGTGAATGAAATCTTCCTTGTAAATCGCCAGTGTCTAGCGAGAATACGCACTGCACGTTGCACTGCTAGCCTCTGACTGTTAGCTCCCTTTGAATGTCGCATGTTGCCAAGGACGAGAGCACCGGTACACTGATGTGTTTGGTCGACGAATCGCGGAGATTGTCAGTCGACACAGTCATGAATAGAGAAGCATAGCCCTCGTGACATTCACAGAACGGCATAGCCACGATATCTCATGAGACATGAATCAGTGCATTCGATATCATGAACGCTGTTGCCATTCATACCTTTTTAAATCATCTCATCACGCCTGATCTATCGCTAAATATAGACTACGTAAGACTATTATCATAAAGTACGTTATATAATTCGTAGATTAATTCTCTATTACTTTCCAATTGAAAAAAAAAAGAAAAAGAAAAAAGAAAGACTCATCGTAGAGCTACGACGCTTCGAGATCACATTCGTGACGGGAACGACTTAGCCTATCGGGAGTCACGCCAGATGGCGCCACGAGACAACCTCGGCCGATCGACGCGCCATCTTCTCGCCGCGAACCCACGGGATAACCTTCTCGCGTGCTTATTTCTCGAGAACTCGTCAATTTTTCGATCCAATGAGCATCGCGTGGACTCGCTGAAATGGTCAAAAAGAAACGAGAAGGTCCAGAAAAGGAAAACTCGGTCGAGGCGCGATTTCATCGAGTTAAATCTCTCTTCCGGTCCCGCGAGGCCAATTCGTGTCTGAGATTCGTTTTCCTGTCCGTTTTAAATCCACGCCGGATATTGTACGTTCGAACGAGTCTCTAGTTGCGTTCATGCACGTCTAAGAAATTTTTCCAGGGCAACGATGCTATCGGGAAGATTGATCACTACGTCGCTCGGCTGAACTCGTTCGCGAGGTTACGATGTGATCTTCGAGGGTAATCATATTTTTATATGGTGTAAAACTGTTTACAGGATTTTTCGTTGGGGTGACAAACCTCCGACGGCAAGAGTAAATGTAAAAATCATAGAACAGTACAGACAGAGAAGACATCTTGCAACGATTAAACTGATATTAGCGTGTGATATCCGATGTTCGGTTTGTTATTGACTTCTTGCAGGGGTTTAATGCTTAACGAGAGCACACAAGGCCATTCGCGTTTTTGATCATTTTATACGTGATTTCGGGAATTTATTTGAATTTGAATTTTCAGCCTTTTTTTGTACTTTCGTTTTTGTAATTTTTGATGAACAAGGCTGTGGAGAGGTTATGAGATTCGACGAGACCTTGCAGAACATAAATAGCAGATGTGCCAACGGTGAAAATCGTTTTCTAAGATAATAACAGAATTTAAACAGGTTCCATCCATGGAATAGTTAATAAATATAACAATAATATTTCTGTGTTTTGAAATATTTTGAAATATCTTTATTTGAATTTCCTGTACAGTCGGTGGTGGAGAAATGGTTATATTGAAAATATTTTTCTTCTAATATTTTAGTAGAGGAACTTATCCTTTAGAACAAATTGATTTAGTCCTTTACATGGCGAATTAATGACAGATACAAATTAAATATCATGTATTATACAACTGTTAAATATATTGTGATTGAGTATTGTATTTACAATTTTCGACATAATCGAACAAATTTGTAAGTTAAAATTAACTGTCCAAATATTTATTATTTTTAAAGAAATGTTCATATACTTCCTGAACAATTTCCAAAGTCTCATTAATCACGCTAAAGGATAATATTATTATCTCGCATTTACATTATTATTATAGAGTTGATATAACAAAAACCATTGTTACATCACCCAGAGATTACCCCATATAAATTCAACCTAACCTAAATATACATTTATTACGAAACGTTAGTACTTCCGGAAGACCAGAAAATACAAAATAATTTGTATATTTTCCACGAATTACCTTTTTTGTCCTTTTCCAAATTTATCTCGGCCACTTACGCGTATCTTTGTTCACGCCTCGCTTAATTTACGACATCGCCATATCTCTTCCACCGACCGTGCGTTACAGGACGCGACAGACCCGTAGCCCCCTGGCGTGAGTAATCGTCGTTCGATAAGCGAGCGCGCGTAATTCGAAACGGCGCGATGGCGCGAAAAATTCCAGGTACGTCCGGTTTCTGTAATTTTCGAGGCACGAGGATATTAGCCACGGCGTCGTTGCCTCCGACTAAGCACGGCCTGGTAATCTATTTAATCGAGCCGGTTATTATCGCGATAACGATTTTCATCGGCACGATTGCCGGCAGCCGAGCGTTTAATTGCATGCCGATATTAAATTACTATCGGCCACGTGTCCGATCTCTATTACAACGATATTAACGCGTGGTGTTCTCCTGTAGTGAACCGGGACAAAAGAACCGGAGCAATTACAGAGTAACCCCTCCACTCGTCGTTCGCTATCTTTCCACTGTCTCTCTTTTCATCTTTTTTCTTTTCTATTCTTTTGTCTTTTTCTTTTCCTCGTTTTTTCATTTTTCTTTTTTTTTTACGATGGTTCCTCTTTTTTCTCCATTTTCGTTCGTGTACCGTGTCGCGAATACACTCGAAGCAAACGAACGATTCGATTAAAATTTCAATTATTCGCCGGACATCGCTGATAATTCAACGGCCTCTCTGCTTTGAGGAACAATGGCGCGAGATTTTGTTGGCTGCGATGAAATCTGCGCTGCGATTGGTCATTCGTTTGCTTTCTTTTTTAACCCTCTGTAACTGTGGATGACCTAGAAGGGTAGTATTGTCGACTCACGTTTTGTAATTTTTTTTTTATTCGTTTATATTGGAATATTTTGTGATGTTCCATAGTACTAGATAATATTTTACAGTGCTTCGTATATATAGGTATAATTGATTTGTCAATAGCACTGCCAATGAAAGACTTTGTAAGAATAAACGAAACCCTAGTTATAGAGGGTTAATTCTATTTGATTAATTAATTTTTATTCGAGCTTCTTTTGCTTTTATTCCTTTTTTAACGAATTATCGTACAAATCGATATATATGAACCTAAGATACGTTTCCACTACACAGGGTGTCTCGCATTTTTCTCCACGCACAATATCAAACTATCATACGACAAAATGTCTACGATTATTTTCTTAGGATATTATAACGTTAAAAAATTAGACAAACCTACAACGAAATGAAATTTTCAATTTTTGTATCGATGATAGCAAATGATTTCTCAAAATAAAAACGTATGTAAATATCTACAGTGTTTACATCGCGTCTCATATTTTTGCTATAACTTCTTGAAAGAACATTTATGAACTTTTATTACAGTTTATCTATAAAATACCTAACCAAACCCAATTAGTTGAGTTTGTTCAAAAAAATTGTGCGAAACACCCTGTATATACGGTGGTGAACGTAAGATTCTTTTTCGTTTCCGAATTCTTCTATTCATTTTATACGAAAGTGGCCAAACAGTTTATCTAAAAGTATAACCAAAGTTGTCGATGATTCACAAGGTACAGTATTGTTTGAGATAACGAATGAACGAGACCTGAAGTCTTAGACGTTCTTAGACCAGCAAGATACTCGAAGCGATACAGTCGAATATCTAGTTCACGTTTGCTCGTTAAATTCCAATTACAACGTATGCATTGAATCTATAATGCAGCTGTAACAGCTTATTCGTCGACGTCTTGCCCAGACTCGCTCCGCTTTCCAGCCTAGAAACACCATAGAACCTAACCATCTCTTATACCACGTGAGCAGTGTTCAACTTCCGGCTGATCCGCCAGATTGAACGCTCGGACATCCACGTGTTAGCTCTAACCGAAGCGCAGTCGAAATGAAAATACGTGAAAGATATATTCGCTGTCATGTATCGTTGTTCGATGGAACACATGGTAGACGATTAGCATTCCTCCCGGTGAGAATGGAAAAGCGGAAAATCCCCTCTTACTCTAGCTAAAGAATTTGAAAAAAAAGAAAAAGAAAAAAAAAGACGAAAGAAAACCTTTAATAGCCGATTCGAATTTTCTATCAATTGTGTACATGTGTTTATTACTCTTATATTGACTCAATGATGTTATTCTGTGGTGCTTTGCATGTCTCTATTGGACTCTGCATGTCGTATAGGGCATCGTAAGTACTTATTAAATGAACTCATCAACGACTACTACCGAATACACACGACACCCGCAATGACTCTTGTTTAAATAAGACCTCGAACGCGTCCCGCTGCGTTGCGACAAAGTCGAATGGGCGATTCTAGAATCGTTATATTTATCAACGTAGTCGTGTATACCGAGAGCTTCTGTTGGTTTCTCTTGAGAAAACGTGGAGAAGGTAGTCCGTAAGAACAGTCGGCGGAGAATCGGGGAAACCACCTCGGAGACGCTCTATTCCAACTGCTGCCTGTCAAGATTCTCTTTAGGCTTTCACGGTTCCCGAATTATCGCGGTTCAGATCGTCCGAGGCTTCCACGTGTAAACTGTGCTGCGTTTTGGAAAACGTTTCGCCAAGCGTTCCTGCTAATACTGTATCACAGTTAGCTCTACGATGCTGGTGCAGTGCTAGACACTTCTCCGAGACGACCAGATGGGTTGGGTTTCCACTTGGAAGCCTCGAATCGGTCTGCGTCGTCGTTGCGTCAAACGCGTAGCAAGACTCTGTCAACAGTTAGAATTCTCGAGCGACGATAGCTGATCGCGTGGATTCGAGGCGTTTTATTCTTAGTAATGAGAGTTGGTCTTGCTAGGTCGGTGATGAGAGGTCGATTTTCCGAAAACCGACTGTGCTTACTGCAGTTTCAGTTTCTAGAGTAATTCTCGTAGAGCAACTGCGATCAGAGAGTAATCGCCTACGGAGAGAAAGATGGACAGGATGCCTCGTTCTGCTTGATCGATTAGTAGTGGACGTGTGAGACTCGACGATAAGCCAAAAGGGTGTAAGGTTAGGATGTAAAGTGAGAGAGGTTTGAGGTTCTTTGAAATTGTAGCTAATTGGCATCGATAATTAGTTCGTTTGAATATTAATCTTCAATGCTTCGGAAGAGGTACAACGGAACTGGATTCGATTCAATTTGAAATTGTACGAGGAAAGCTTCTTAAAGATGTCGAAATCGAAGAACAAAAGGGAAAACCTGCTTTGGAACGTTCCTCGATCTTCGTTCCTGCTAATTAGCTGGGGACAAAGGAGTTGGACGTTTCAGAAGGGACTTGACAGCTTCTTCGATCAAATTACTAGCTCTTGTTTCGAATTAATCGACTGTGCAATTCGATATAATAAAACTGATAAGAAATTACTTTAGCGACACGTGTGTGCTCGTGATTCGTTAGAATTGGAAGCTGAGAATGGTCTTTTTGGCTCGTCGAAGAGAGGTGACACGTTGATCCCGGCAGAACGAGGATCCTTCCAATGACCTGGTAAAGTTTTAATTCCGACGAGCCAATTTTACTCGATTTTCTTTCTCCCGACCTCACTTTTACGTTTCGAATCAAAGGCTCGAGGTTGTTTGCAACAGGTTCTTTAGTTTATTTATTTCCTCTAGTAGGAACCTTTAGTCGTAGTGCCGTATTATTATTAAAATCATGCCGCCCGCCTATGTTGATTCGAGAAATTCCCTGCCTGGCCGGTCAAGAAGGCTGGCTTCCCTTTTGTTATTCCCCTGGTCCCTGTGTCAATATTGTTTGTCTGTTACGCTGTGGGTGTTCTGTTTAATCCTACCTTTCGCTGCTTCCTGTCGGCTGGAACACTGGCAGACCTCCAGAAGATGCAATAACGTAAGGAGGAATAGAGTACAGGCCAACTAAATGAGCACTCTCGTTTAAGAAGAAGCTTGGAAAAGTGTTGTGTCAATGTTCCTTTCAGATTTAATGAATCTGCAATATTACAGGGAACGCTAAAGTGACGTTTCGGTGCAGAATCGTGTTTAGAAATTTTAAGAAATAATTCGGGAGAGTATGAGAGAAAGTGAAAACGATATTCGAATAATTTTATCCACCAGTGTAAATTAGTTATTGGTCCTCGAATTTTATGGTCAAATTGCATCCTGTCAAAAATAAGTATCCAGATCGTTGAGAAAGTTAGGGTACCTACTGGACGTTGGACCCTGCTACGAATTACATTCTCACACGTGAAATATCGTTAACCGATTCGACTATAAATAACGGCTAATGAAATTTTGCCCCTAAAAGGATTAAATACCTGGCCATGGTTCTAAATTACCGAGCATTTAAGCCAGCTAAGTATAAGAACCATATCGAGTGGGATAATCCTCTCTAACTCCTTTCTTAACCGGCGTGATTCATTAATCCAAGGGCTATTCGAAATTTCGGATTTAAACTTCCCCGCGAATTTTACGTTAGGGGAACAAACTCGGTTACCAAACTGACAGTCGAAACTTCTCTCTATAAGCTGGCCTGTACTGCAAGGAAACTGAAATATCGTGACAGCCGTACGATCTTCCATGCTCGACTACAGTAGCGTGCAAAAGTCTTTGGTTTGAGGAGAACCTCGGCTAGAGATTAAATCGATCGTTATTCTATTTACCTTGTATCACTGGTTACCATTCCCTTAGTACTCCGCACATTTTGGTCACGACTTCTCGATAAAGCTTGACACGTTTTCCTTACCTGTATTTATAGAGTCTGTTGACAATTGGCACACCCTGTATACACCCTTCTAGTAATCGAGTTATCTTTGTGTACTCTATATATTGTCACAGTGGTGCCTGTTTTAACGTCTGCAAGTCTGATTTATGTTGACATTTGTCTGAGCTGATGAATTTTAAAGATTTGACAGAAGAAATTTTGGTAGGATACTGATACTCGATTCGAGTTGATGAAAAATTAGTAGTTTAATAACCAGGCATAGCAATTTGTATTGATAACTAGAGTCATCTCTACATAGGATTCTATAACTACAATTGACACTACATAGAGCTGTCATGTCGTGTAATCATTGGAAACGCTTTGGTCCTTGTTAAAAGGTGTAAAAATAAGTATAGAAATTTTTGAAAATATGCATACAGCATTGTATTTAATATATAGCTATAACTCCAATTGACACTACATAGAGCTGTCACGTCGTGTAATCATTGGAAACGCTTTGATTCTTCGCTAAAAAATACAAAAATATGTATAGAAATTCTGGAAAATATGCAGACAGCATTGTATTTAATACTCGTCCATTTAATAAGTAATGATTCACAGCAAAACACTGTGAACTTTGCTCCAAGAATTAACAAAGACAGTAATAGACGCTAAAGCGGGCACGGATCAGGACACTTATGCGGGCAGTACTGTATACCCTCAGTTTTATAATTGAACTTTCACGAACCCGAGACTATTTCATTCGAATAAAGAGAAATCTGGAAAATGAAGAAAAAATGAAGTATTATTTGAAAAGACACCAGTGATTAATTGGCATGAAATTTGAGGTGGTAGAAAAAGGGGTGAATCGATACAAAATATAAAAGTTTAATTGCGAATATTTATTAATTTCCAACGTATTGATAAAAACTTTCCTAAATAAGTAAAATTATATAAAGATTTAAGCTTATACTTATTTGACATAGATTAATATCATACCTGCTTAATATAGTATCACAATCACCGATTTGATATCATCGAAAGTTTATTATTAATATCTCAAAAACCTAACAAATACTCGAAGCTGTAATAAAATTTCATAACTATATTTTCAGATATCAATAACAAACTTTCGATGGTATACATTGAATCGATTATATAGCCTTGTTATATTATATAAAGCAGGTATACTGATCTATGTAAAATAAGCGTAAGTTTAAATCTCTGTATAGGAAAGTTTTTATTGAAATCTTGAAAATTGATAAATATTTTCCAAAATTGTATATTTTCAGTCTATCCACCCCACACGCCATCCCTTAAATTTCACCCCGATCCACCAACGTCTCTCATTATCATGAGAACGTACTTAGTCCACAAACTCTTTTCTTTTTTTTTTTTACGTGGAGGAAATCTTCAAAAGACACCCGACCCCCCTAGGGGAGGAGGTGGGGTTATGTGGGATTTTAACCCACTAAAACCCCCACGATGGCCACCCTACCGCGAAAGTGGAGCGCCCTGGTCAGCCCACAAACTTGTCGTCACAGAGCAACCTAACGATCGGAAACTTTTTCACGCTACTGTACCTGCCACCATCTCCCAATGTACCTTCCATTTCCCTTTCCTCGGACTTAATTAATCCGATCGATGGACATCGAGAAACGAGGAAAGAACGCGGAATCGGTATTCCCGGGCAGCCAATCAGCGGCTCGTTAATTAGCTCCGGCGATGCACGGTTCCCTTCGTCCGCAATCAAACGGCCACGCACGGACAAAGAGACACAGGGATGAAATACCGGCGCGGCGATACCGAAAACGGCGTGTCGGCGTCGCGACGACGACGCCCCGAGCAACTCTCGCGACGCTCGTTTCCGTTCACCTGCTCGCAGGCGGATCGACGATCAATTAGCGGAACTTTGATCCACGCCGAAAGGGGTAGATCACCCGTCCAGGGTTGGATTAACGTTCCAGCGGCACGACGAGTAGCGTGCACCCTCACGCACGCTCACGCTGAGACCGGGTTCGTTTGATCCGCCACGCTGAAAGACGCGTCGCTGAAGGTAAACGCCGCCTTCCTGGATCGTGCCGGCTGATTTACGCGCGACAGGTCGTAACTCTTCCGTTGAAAGCGGGAAAAATCGGGTTCCGGAGGGGACGATCGAGACGCGTATCGTCCTGGTAATGATTTAGACCAAGGAAATGGAATTCGTAGAGGAGAATGAAGGAAAGAGGTTTGTAACGTTCATCCCGGGGTATATTTTATGTTAATGGGGAGATTAAAAGTTAGCGAGTGGACTATAGTACATACGTGGCAAAATAAAGATACACCCGCTGATTTTTGGAGTTTCAGGTACTTTGAAGGGGGTATATCATGTAGGGGTTTAGGGGAGGAAATTATGACTGTGCGATCTTGAGTCGAATTTAAATTTGCACGGGGAAATTGATAATATAGTGTAGCCATTGCATAATACTGTTGACGAAATATTGGGAAAGTAAAATATTTTCTTGAATATCTCGGAAATTGGGAATTTTTTATTTATTTGTCTTCTATATATAAGATTCGAATTCTGACTCGAACTGGAATACGAAAATATGTAAGGAATCATCCTCGGACATTTTAAAACGGTGCTAATTATCTATAAAGAGAAAATTGAAAATCATTATCATAAAACATTGTTAAACAATTTTTTTATGTATCAGTATTTTCATTTTTCACGTAATGATATAAAAATTTGAAAAAATTTGCGAAAAAGGTATAATTTGTAGAAAATCTTCTACGTTATTAAAAAATGGGTATTTTATATGGTATTTGTACCTGAAATTTATGTACATTGGAGTACCTTCGAGAAATACCGAAAATTATATGGCGTACTAGTATTTTGTCGTGTACTGTAGTCCAATGAATGACATAGTTGAGTTCATGGGTTTGGGAATGGAATGGATTTGGGAATAATAATTGGCATTGTTGAGAAGGACATGACTCTGTGATACAATATCGGAAACCGTAGATTGGAAATGTCGATCGAGATTTTGATTTGCACGTTGAACTTGTACAGAAAATTAATTAAGAATTTCGTTCGGTTAATTTTTGAACGAATTTGAATTTTTGAATTTGAAATATTGAATTTGAAATTAAATTTACTCCCTGTAATTTCACTTACAATTAGATATATTACGTTCGTGCGTATCTATACTCTTTAATCCTTATTTAGGCATGTTTAACCGGTATATTATATTCTCCTATCATCCAATAATTTATTTATAGCAATTGCCAATACTTTTCTCCCATCACAATATAAATCTCGTCAGCACGTTATTTATTTTTCTTTCCTTCTTTTATTTCGCATCCCCGGTAGACAAAAGACAAAGGAAACCTTGTTACAGAGCTTTCAATTTTTCATTTTTCATTTCCATTTAATCGCAACGGTGGATCGATATTTCTACGAAAATTGAATATTCCGTGCTATCATATTTTATGAAAAATTTGCTATCCATACCGCCGAGATCTAATAAAAATAATATCTCGAATAATAATCTCGAATAATATCTCGAACAATCTTGGACGATATTGAAAGAAATAATTGGAACGACATATATAATCCGTTAGTGAAACATTTAGAACGTAGTCTGGGTATAGTGATTTCTCGAAACAAGATATGATCCTCTCTGAGAAGCATTAATACCATAATATGATCCTTGGAGGAAAATACGAGTTCATGGTAAAAGAATCGCAATCATATAAAGATAGTCCTTTATCATATTATTCGACATTTTCCTTTGCCGTGTTTCCTTCGTCCATTTTCAACGAAACGGAAAACACGATCCTTCTCAATTGTGCGAGGTGCACCATGTATATCAGGGAAAATTAAATCAGCTCTTTTCCAGCGTTCCTCCTGGCTTGAATAAGGGAAGAGATATGACCTGATCCGATCGCGTGAATCATTCTACGTTGCGTTTATTAATTTTGATACCGGATCTGTTCAATAAATCCGGCCGAAATTGTGTCTTCGAAACACTGCCTCGTATCTCGTGATGTTTCATCGTCAGTGATTTTAACCAATTTTATTACTTCCGCAGACATACCTTTAATTCTCCGAAATTTCCCAATTTTCACTCCATTATACGATTTCCATTTATTTATTTATTTTTTCCCGGACAATGCTATAGTATTTGGGCACACGGGGACGAAGGGGTGTGATGTATCACTGGAGAGGTTATAAATAAGGGAATTAAACGAGAAAGGTCATGGGAGCCGTAAATGTTCTATTTTGGAAATGCAGGTATAATTATGCGTGAATGGAGAAACTATTTTTAACTCGCAGACGTTATATCGGTGTACCAATCTTCGCTGTGGTAGTAGATAAACGTCATCGAGTGTAACAGCAAAAAGTTTAGAGTGTATATAGGGTGACTCGTGTTAATTTAGCGAAATATCTCGCAAAGCTTTAAAGAAAAATTGTTTCAAATGATTACTATTAATTTCTGATTTTTCGTATATTTTTAAGGTCATTCGAAGGTCAACTTTTCTTAAATGGGACTACAATCTTTGTTAGAGATATTTGCTTTTTAGGAGTTTAATTTTCTTTTCGAGATATTTTACTGTCTAAGTATAAATGAGACACCTTGTACATCTTCAACATCATTATACTGTGTAATGGTGTAATATATATTATAAGTTCAACAGTATTTTATTTTCCCCTGAATTTTTGAAACACGATATTTGCTACTTCCATGACCTTCCCTATCAAATTTCTTTATTCGTACATTTTCTAATGACGTATTCTTCTCCCTGACCACGTGATCCTCGATACCATAGCAAATGCTCATCCCAATTTCAGCTATATATATTTTTTAAACGAGACTTCTGCAGCTCCCACGACTTTCCTTATCGAATTTCCCCGTTTAAAAGCTCTCCAATTATGTACTACCCCTACTCCACCTGCCCAGGTTCCCGAATATCACATAGTACAGCCATTTCTTTTTTCTTTCTCCCAATTTAAAGGGGTACGCGTGTTATTAATCGTTCCACGACAGCTCGGAGCTTTCCTTTTTCGCGTTTCTCGATCTCCCTGCCCACGTTCCCAGCGAATAATTTTACTTGTCATTTTCCACAGAGCGAAGTATGCGAAGTTAATTACAAACCGTTTCGCTTTGTAAACGATCGGGAACGGTGTAATTCGAAGCTCGGGAGGTAGAGTGGAAACGGGAGCCAAGCTTTTGACTTAGCCCCGAACAAAAGGATTGCGTTAACGAGAGGAATTCTTTTACTATTTAGTCGCGGGACGATGGTCGTTTCCTTTAATACGACGTTTAATCAGGGAAATCTCATTAATACTCGACGAATCAGGACTTCCGAGCGCGCTGATAAGACGAGTGGTCGAATTCGACGGAATTAACGCGGAACTACGGCCGGATTGGGAATCTCGAAAATGGTGAACTTCGCAAATTTCGCGCGACCCAGCATCGAGATCTCCCCTTGTATTCTTTGATTCTGTCAATCCGCGTTTATTAACCATTTTCATTTCTCTCTGACATTTTCTCCTTTTTCTTTTTTTTTTCTTTTTTTTCTCTCTCTCTTTCTTCTTTGTTAACGATCCCACGTAGAACGCGCAGGTACCACGCGTTCGATATCGATAGACAGAAATCTCTTCTCTGAATCCAGGAGAAAAAGGACGGACCGGTGTACAAGTTCTACGAGACCATTCGCGATTTCGGCGAGGAGATCATGAGCACCATCAGCCACCTTCGCGACGTCACGCTCTTCGCGCCCAGCAACGCAGCCCTCGAGGAACCGGGCGTTCAGAAGATCTTGCAGGACAAGCAACGCGTCAAAGAAATCTTGAATCTGCATTACGTGAAGGAACGACTGCCACTCGACAAGATCAAGAACAAGACTGTCAGCAAGGTGAGTGACTTTGTTTTGTCAAGCTTTTAAAAGGGCTCTGCGAATGGATTGGTATATATCGGGTGTCCTGTAACTTGTGGTACCATCTAGATACGCGATTTTCTTATAAATATCGAATAATAATTATATTCTTAACACTAAACCTATCATTTTATAATTAAAAATTTCGCATTCAACATTATTGCTTTGGTTACTTGTTTTCCTAGTATCCTTTTACTATAGGTATAAGCAATTTTTCAATATCTCCTCGTGTTCTATTTTTGTAAAATTTAACTTATTTTATTTTTTCGTTTACCGATCATAATAGATTTAGTATTGAGATAACGTTAATGTAATGAAATAACAATTGTCACAACGTCATTCATTATGTACATTTATAGACGAAAATTATGCAACAAAATAATTATTTGCTAATTTTCGTGTATTTCTTAATTTGTGACATGCGCGTGTAGAAATTTAAATTAGGATGAAGAGATAATTTTATCTGGGCTGTCAAATATTCAAACTCAATTTTTTTGAAAACAATGGTTAATTTGAAAAAATTTTATTCCTGATTTTGCATTTATTTTTTCGCGTCAAATTAAATACATTCAAAATATATCACTAGTTACGAGACACTATATATATACCTAAGTATAGTAGAAGTTTCGAATCGCTTCAAATGTTCACTAATTTTGCGTTATCTCAGGAATATTAATAAAAATTAATATAGAAATTAGTTATTTATTTTTTGTTTTTACAAATCTAATTTTTCTTTTACCTAGTTTCGATAATAATCGTGTCAATTTTCGTATCGAATAGAATATTTGGAAATTGAAAGTGCCATCGACGGTACTTCATAGATTTTAACAGCTCAGGAGATCTCAATTGTCCTAATGGTCCTTATAGTTCTTAAGTATTCGAGTCCTTAAGTGTTACTGCTGCTAAAAGCTGGAACAAATTTAAAAGAGGAATCACCTTCGTGATATTAGAACATCAAGAACTTTTGAGCATTCTTAAAAGATGCATTAGGTTGAAAGAAATGTTAAAATGCGTTAAAACTACTATACCATTATATAGTTAAAGATAAATATTTAGATAAAGATTTGTAGATAAATAAAATCGATGAACTTCCAAAAGGAAATGATGAAAATGAAATGACTAATTATTTTTAAAAAATGTCGATATATAAATAAATTCCGAGATTTCTATAGATTTCGAAGCAATTGTAATTTTTTGAAAATTTGTAATATATAAAAATAATAATCAGAAGCGAGTCGAAACTTTCTTAAATTATTATTCTTCGCGATGTTACGCTATTTGCATAATTAATATGTCATACGAAAGAATATCGAAGATCCATTACTTACTAATTTTTCCATGCTAATTTGGACGGTTTTGGTGCAAAGATTTCGTTGCTTTTGTAAACGAAATAACATTGTCATTGTCGCTCTGAAACCAATTATCCACACACACGTGTAAGAAATTGCAAATTGATTAACTCGATGTTTCTCTGTTTTCTGTTTTCGTTCGAAGAAATCCTCGATCGGGAAGCCGATACACATTGGGGTAATTACACATTTATAAATCTTTTCAGTGTTTCTGTTCGATTGTTCGTGAACTTTCTCTGCATCCTTCTTTCTCTTCGCATTCGCCTTGATTTACTTCTCAGCGTTGATCCCATTGTCGATTCTCGTTTCACGAAATATCGTCGTGGACTCTGCGTGAACGTTGATCAAAATGCGGGAATGTTTTTTTCTATTTTCATTTAAATTACGAACATTTTATTCTGCGGCACGCAAGCGTGGTTACGCTCTACTAAATTTTCATTTTCGTACGCTTACTTTTCCGCTGGCGCTACTCGCTTGAAGTAATTCCTTTTTCGAACTGAATTGACTGCTCGAGATCTTTAAAACACGGATTTCGATGAAATATTTTACAATTTACGATTATTTCATTTTCTATTTCTTTTTGTAACAATTTTATTAATAAAAATATATATATTTCTTATTTTTATTACACATAGTACGATTTTGTGTTATGTTTAATCTTGTATTTTATATTAGATTTTTTGGAAATTTAAATTATGTTCTTTGGATTTAAAAAGTAGGCTGTAAGTGGTCAATTCATTTTGAATATGGAATTAACAATGATCAATGTTGATTTCGCTGTATTCGTAAGATTCTTGGATCTCGTAATATTTTTGTATTAGAATAAAGAACGCGTAGAACTTTTTTGGTAGATATTGAATGATTAGAAAGTTAGTATATAATTTCTTTCAACGTGTCAGCGCTTTGTGTTTAGAGGAATATAAAGTGTATATGTATATCTCTGATTTTAATTCACGCCGATTATGTATAGATATATTGGTGTTATTTATCAGGACACGTAATATTTTTATCTATGAAAATTCACATTTGTTTCTAGGTATTAATACATTATAATAAATTTACAACATTTTTTTATACGTCTTGATACCAATTATCGTCTCAAGATATTATCAAGATTTGTTCATCACTATTCATTACAAATACCACACTATTGTAATCAAGAAATTAAATAAGAATATCAACAAAATAGAGAAATTAGATTCGAAAGAGCAACGAAATCATTGGACGAAAGGAGAAGTGGTTAAAAATATCATAACTATCACGCAATTAATATAAACTTCTATTCTATATTTTTTAATTATATAGATTGCTGGTTTCTCCATTTTTTTAAATATTTTATATTTACGATTGATTAGATAATACAAAGATTAAAACGGAAAGGTAACAGAAAAATCGAAATATCAATTTGCAAGCAAATTTGCAAATATTAATTTTCATAATTATGATTCGCAGTTAATAATAATATTTTCGAAAATCGTGTATTAAATCGTCCCGACTTCCTTGCATTATTATCGGTCGCATAGTAAATTCGATACTCGAATTATCTTCGCGAATGCTGGAGATTTGAGAAAATATAACGAGACTCCTCGTTGTTCCTCCGAAAAGTCTTTTCATGCTGATCGAGTAATAACGAACATCCGGGAAACGAACAGGTGTTCTTGGTCGACTTCGCGGAAACTTCGAGGAGGCCGAACTAGCCTTCGTTGTTATGACGTTAGGGTTCTCCTGTCAAACTTTTACCTTCCAATCCACTTACAATTAATCCGGACAGGCTGCGAGTCTTCTTATCGGATTCCTCCACGAAAGTTCGTTTTCATCTAATGCCATTTCTCGAAACTTTTCCCTGCTTCTATATAGCGTGCAATCAACGCGCTCGCTATAATCGTTACAAAAGCGCTTTCATGCGATAAATTTCCGTGATACATATGTGCATATCAAAATATCTTTATTTCCACTGTATTTTTAACTAAAAACAGGTTCTTAGAGAAATTCATAATTTTTGAAAACTGAGAGTGTTAGGACAATTTCGATTATGGATTCGTGCTCAAGAAACTTTACACTTTATAAGAATCACCTAATGAATATTACAGATTGTCATATGTCATATATCAAATTTGTTGGACAGTGTTAGTAGCGTAAGAAAAAATTGTAATTAAACTCTTAAGTAAGTGTTTAAATTATAATATTGCAATGATTTGGATAAAACATAGATATTATTGATATTTATTATATTTAGCCATGATAAATTTAATTTTAAAGTAGATATTAATTCGAGTTAAATTAAATAAAAGAATAAAATGTATTTTAAATACGTAAGTATTAATATCGATTAAATGCTGTGATACTAAAATCTAAAAGAATTATTTAAATTGAGGAAGTATGATTAATTGATTTTACAAATCATAGAAAATACGAGATACCGTATTAATGGGGCCTAACGATGGGGACCAAAATGGCGGACATCTCATCATTGATATATTAATATTTACCAGTGATATTATTTGTCATTTATATAATTCGTGCCATAATTCGTTCGGCATATATTATACGTATTATTCGAAGGGATAATACGTTTCAGAAATTATTGATTCGGTGTTTTCGTAGCTACCGTTACAAGTAGAATAAGCGAAGAATTGAGCGGACGCGGTTTACCCAGACGCGCGATTATGAACTAACTTTTCCAAGACTATGGGAATGAGAAGTTCCGAAGTAAACAAGTTTCAAAGTTCCAACTCATTTTTGACTGTAATATGCTCGCGAAATAATTTTAGTATAATTTATTATTCGAATTGCACAACAGCTTTATCTCTAAAGAACTCACAGAGACTCTCTATACACTCTTCTTAATCCCGAGTAGTGATTCAAGATTCTCAATAATTCTCATCTTATCCGAGCCATAAGGAATTATCAGCGAATTTAAATCCGCAGATAAATCCCTCTTAAAACATTCAATTCGCAGCACGTTCGTATCTCTGAATGATTAAAGTTGATATCAATTTTCTTTCTTTCCCGAGTTATTTAATTAAATCCTCGAGTATAATCCCGAAGCAGCCGTTGTTCAACGAAATACTAATAAACTTACATATCCGGATGCTTTGTGAATTTATCGATAAACGTATTCCCGGTTCGCGCTAAACATACTCTACCTGTAAAAATTGTTTAATTATCTCTCGGAAAAGCTCGGACAAAGGGAAAAAGCGACGCATATATCAGACACGCTCTCTTGAAAAGCTGCTACTAGTTCCCTGTGTAATTAAAAGATTTTTTATTCTGCTTGATCGAATTCACGATTTTCCTCGAACACGCGAAAAAATATGTTTTATGACGCAGAGAGGAAGAAAAGGGAAAGGGGGAAACGAAAATCGTTTAATTGAAACGATACATCGTCGAGGGTCCTGCGTGAAAGAATAATTCCCGCGTAAATTCATACCTTCGATTCCTCTCCCTTTGAATAAATTCCACCAACTTTATTCCTTTCATCGAGCTTCGTGCGCGAATTTACTGTTTGTTTACACGTTTGTTTACGCGTGTGTTTGCACGCCGAATTTATAGGCGATACAGAAACGCTTTGCAAATCCGGAGTGAAAAATCGTGCCTCTGCCGGTATAATAAACGACTCGAAATGGTTAA